GGGGGGGGGGGGTTACAGCCGGGCTTAATGAGCTTTCAGCCGGCGTCTGATTGGCTGATGAAACAGCAGCTTAGTCTTAATCAGTTCAGTGGTTGTCGGCCATGAAGCCGAGGACTGATAATCTGATATTAGAGCAGCTTCAGCCCGCAGGACATCTGCTGCCCAGAGCTTCCTGAAACCTCACCGGCCTCAGCAACTCACAGAAAACCCTGGAAAGAGCAGAGAGAGACCAGTCATCATGACCAAAACAACTAAAAACTACCAAACGTGGAGCCAAAACAACTAAAAACCACCAAACGTGGAGCCAAAACAAGTAAAAACGACCAAACATGGAGCCAAAACAAGTAAAAAGGACCAAACATGGAGCCAAAACAACTAAAAACAACTAAACACGGAGCCTAAAGAAATAAAAACGACCAAACATGGACCCAAAACGACCAAAAACAACCAAACGTGGACCCAAAACGACCAAACGTGGAGCCAAAACAACTAAAAATGACCAAAATTGGAGCCTAAACAACTAAAAAACAAACAAAAAATGACCAAAAGTGGAGCTAACACGACCAAAACAGAGCTAGAAGTACTAAAAACAGACCAAAAAAGACCAAAAGAGAAGCTAAAAATAATAGAAAACCAAAAACAACCAAAATTGGAGCTAAAACGCCCAAGAGTCTGAGATGGATCACTAGTAAAAGCACCCCTCAGTTAGAGCAGCCTCAGAAATTATTGACAATAATTCATTTTTAAGCTAAAATGCGTAAAAGATAAACCCAAGAATAACAGAAACCAGGTCAGAGTGCGAGCTGGGGTCATAAAAACCTCAAAAAACGGCTATAAAATGTTGGATTTTTCTAAATAAAACGGCTCAAATCTGTTTGTTTCTTTAGGGGAGTAAAGGACTAAAACTAGTCGGATTTCTCTTTAAAAAGGGGGCTTTTTGGGGACGTTTTTGTTTCCTTTCTATCGTTTATTTGTTCTGAATCCAGCCAGATTAAATGAATCAAGAAGGTCCAGATTCCTGTGGATCCACACGCCCGGAGCAGCCGGCAGAACCAGTTTGTATGAGACATATGTGGGTTAAAGGAGGTTAGAAAAACACCTTAGACAGCAGATAAGAGACAGGATCTGGGAGCTTTAGTATAAAAAGGCATTTTATCTGCATATCCGCCAAGTTTGAGACTTCAAATCCACCTTTTTCTCAGTAAAATCCTCCTTTTTCTGAGGAAAATCCACTTTTTTCTGAGGAAAATCCACCTTTCTGTGGAAAAAGATCCTCGTTTTTGTGAAAAAAATCCTCTTTTCTTTTAGGAAAATCCTCCTTTTCTAGGGAAAATTAACCTTTTTCAGACTTCAAATCCCCCTTTTTCTGAGGAAAATCCACAGAAAAAGACCTTTAAATCTAAAGAAGGTCCCAGAGTTCAAGGTTAGCTGGTAAATCAATGATGAACCATTAAAAACCTGCTCTTCCTGATTTACAGAGAAAATGGAGTCTTGAAGGCATCTTTGGGGGAAATCTGGTCTCTGTGAGCTGGTAAATGAGATTTTCTCTCTTCCAGTTCCTCTGAACTGTCAGAGTTCAGCTTCAGGCCCTCGAGATGGAAAAGAAGATTAAAAACATTGTGTAGAAAATATCCAACTGCTCTTTGGGGCTGAAAGCAGCTGGATGCTTCCTGCTCTGGTTTCTGACCTCTGACAGAAAACACCAACATCTGAGCAGAGAAATCTGCTTTTTAGGTCTTTAGATGAAGGGAAACATGTAAAAATAGGCTTTTTAGGCCTTTAGATGAAGGAATATCATTTTAAAGACAGCTTTATAGGTCTTTTGATGTAGAAAACTCATTAAAAATCAGTGTTTCAGGTCTTTAGATGAAGGAAAATCATTGTTGTGATCAAATAGCTCAGAAATCTCAGCTTTCACTGCTTTTTTACCATTTAAGTCTAAATGAAAATGCTTTTAGAAAGTCAGAAAGTCCTCTAACTTAATTCCAGAGCTGCAGAAAATCTCCAAAATCAGTTCTAATTTTCTCCTATTCATCATGAAAACTCCTCCAATTTTGCTCCAGAGCTGAAAAGAAGATTTTCAGTCTCTTCTGAAGTCTATTTTCCTACAAAATAGACATTCCAGCTCCATTTCATGAGCTTTTTCTGGATAAACACCAACATCTGAGCCTCTGATCCAAACTAGAGTCCAGAGAAAAACACATTTTCTGGCATTTTTCCTCCAAAAATCAGCTCTAATTTTCTCCTATTTGACTTTTTTTAAAGTCAACCATTCAGAAAAACAGTTTTAAAACAATGTTAGAGGCAAATGCGTTGGGAAATACGTCACAATAAAAATGAAACTGCAATAATTGGCCATCACTTTTGCAATAATGTGGTGCTACCAGACTACTATTTTAGAGATTTAGCTTCAGTAAAATGAGGTTTTAAACCCCGTGTGGCTCCATAATACATAATAATTACGCTTAGAGCCGACCTGGGAGCCTTCCTCTGGATTACATCCCCCTGTTCGTGTTTTTTATCCGCTCATAAAACTCAGTCTGGATTTAAACCGACACGCTGATCTAAGGCTAACTTAGCTTAACTCGAACTTAGCTGCTCGCGGAAGCTAAGCAACTGGAAGCCAATCTGACCCAAACAGCTTTCAATAAAGTTTAACCAGAGGGGAAAAGCTTCGTTTTAATCACCCAAAGACAGCCGTGATATCTGGGACAAGGCGTGAAGTGACAGTTGCTTCAAAAACGCCACAGCTAGCATGCTATCAAGCTAGCATGCTAGCTGCGTTACCTGCCGTTAATTAGCTTCAGTTAGCCGCACGCGCAACCCCAAACCGCCGCTCTAACCACCGAAACCCGCCATCTTGCCAGCGGTTATTGACTATTTAGCTAAAATACGGCCGTTTGTCTCCGCAAACGGCGGTTTTATTGGGGGTCCGGTGCAGAAAAGGGCCGTTTATCGGTCTCTCCACTCACCTCCGGCTCGTCGGTGTGACCGCCTGGGAACTACCGAGGAGGGTCACGTGGGCTATTGCGGGACACGGCTGGCCTTTCCCGGATGCCCATTGGTCGAGCGGGCAACGGTCCGTGTTGACTGGCAGCGGCTGATTGGCTCAGGGAAAATTCGTCTCGTGGACAGCGGTGATTGGTCAGCGGGTCAGCGGGGGCTCGCGCTGATTGGCTGTAGTAAATCTATGCGGAGAGGCGTTGACCGTGATTCAAACGGATTTTATTACAAAACAATATTCCCGTAATCGATTTCCTGGTTTCTACTTTGGGGGAAATAAACTCTGCATTTCCCGTTTGAGTTAAATATTAATAAATCTAAATAATTTGCTTTTAAATGATCTCATTCAGTTGGTAAACTGTTTTAATATACTAATATTTAATATCTATTGTAATATTTTAGTATTTGAATAATCATATTATTATATATATGGATTGTAAATAACCTTTATTTATTTATGCCTCGTCTATGTTTGGGTTTTTTACTTTTTTTCTGCTGTGACATTTAAATGTTGTGGGATTAATAAAGTATTCTATTCTGTTATTTGTTTATTTTACTATTACTACCAGAGAAGGTCATCGGGTTCACACACACAACATCTCGAGACAAAAACAGCACGACAACAACAACACAAATAAATTGGCGTGTGACGTCTGGAGGATTTTTGGTGTTTTGTCTCACTTCCTGTTTTATTTTGAAAGGTAACCATCCTCTGGTTTCCGGTCACTTCCTGTGTATCGTTACCGTGTGCTTCCGGTTGTGTTCACCTGGGGTTCCCTCCAGTCTGCTACCTGGATTGTGTCGGTGTCTTTGGTCCTTTGATCTGAACCTTTAATCTGAACCTTTGATCTGAGCCTTTGATCTGAGCCTTTGATCTAAGCCGCATTTTGATCTGTCGTTAACAGAGCGTTTGTAAGAGAGATTTTGTTTTGGTAAATGTTTTAATAGTAGTTTCAGATCTTCTAGGTTTTGTTTGTTCTCCTCTGGACGGATTCTCTGTGGTTTTATTCTGTTTTTCTCTTTCATATTCAGGATTTCATTCTGTGAAATTCTTCCATTTCGGAGCATCTTTTGTTTGATAGAATCTTATTTTGTTTTTTGTTTCAGATTAGTTCATTTTTCAGTGGGAATATTTATGTCTAAATAGGAATAATTTTGTCTAAAAAGGAATATTTATGTATAAATAGGAAATTCAAATAAGAATCTTAATGTTTAACCAGGAATATTTAGGTCTAAATAGGAATAATTTTGTCTAAACAGGAATATTTATGTATAAAAAGGACATTTAAATTGGAATGATTTTGTCTAAACAGGAATATTTATGTATAAAAAGGACATTTAAACTGGAATGTTTATGTCTAAATGGGAATATTTATGTATAAATAGGAAATTCAAATAGGAATATTAATTTTTAAGTAGGAATATTTATGTCTAAATAGGAATGATTTTGTCTAAACAGGAATATTTACGTATAAAAAGGACATTTAAATTGGAATGTTTATGTCTAAATGGGAATATTTATGTATAAATAGGAAATTCAAATAGGAATCTTAATGTTTAAGTAGGAATCTTAATATCTAAAGACCTAAAAGCTTCATTTTCTTCTTTTTTTTCAGCTGTAAGAACCAGGCCGGGGTCAGAGGTCATTTAAATATCCGTCTTTATTACAATCCACAGACTGAATGGAAGCTGGAGCTCTTTAAATAAAGTTTATCTAAAGGATACAAAAGACAGAACAGACACAGAGCCGTCCGGCCTCAGGCAGCAGGACGGAGGCTCCGCCCCCAAAGGGCACTTAGCGACCTCTGACCCCCCATCAGACCCCCCCCCCCCCACCCAGCCTCCCCCCCTCCCCTCGGTAAGACCCCCTTCCCCATCAGACCCCCTGTTTAATAAGACCCCCCCTCTGTCAGGGGGTTCCTCTGGTCCAGGATTTGGGGGTCTTGGGGGGGTCTAGGGGGTTCTCTGGTCCATGGTTTTGAGGTCTGGGGGGGTCTTCTGGTCTGGGGTTTCCTCTGGTCCAGGATCCTGGGGGTCTAGGAGGTCCTCTGGTCCAGGATCTGGGGGTCCTCTGGTCCAGGATCCTGGGGATTCCTCTGGTCCAGGATCCTGGGGGTCTAGGAGGTCCTCTGGTACTGGATCTGGGGGTCCTCTGGTCCAGGATCCTGGGGTTTCCTCTGGTCCAGGATCCTGGGGTTTCCTCTGGTACTGGATCTGGGGGTTCCTCTGGTCCAGGATCCTGGGGTTTCCTCTGGTCCAGGATCTAGGGGTTCCTCTGGTCCAGGATCCTGGGGGTCTAGGAGGTCCTCTGGTCTGGGGTCTTTAGGTCTTAGGGGGTCCTCTGGTCCAGGATCTGGGGTTCCTCTGGTCCAGGATCTGGGGATTCCTCTGGTCCAGGATCCTTGGGGGGTCTTGGGGTCCTGGTTCAGGTCCAGGAGTTCCCATGCTGCCCCGTTGAGGCCTGCAGCACCAGGCCCGGCCACCGGGGGGCGGGGCTTAAGTTCAGGGGGCGGGGCTACATGCCCGGGGCGGGGCTAAAGTTCAGGGGGCGGGGCTAACGGCTGGCAGGCCAGTGGGCGGAGTCTCTGGGGGTCAGGGGTCACTCGGCTTTCTTTATGAAGATCTGACAGAAGAGAAGAAAAACCTGGATGAGTAGGGAGGTCCCTAAACGCACCACACGGAAATTTACCCTGGTCATTGAACGCACCATCTAAAGACCTCATCTAAAGACCTAAAAAGCTGATTTTTAATGATTTTCCTTCATCTAAAGACCAAAACAGCAGATTTTTAAATGATTTTCCTTCATCTAAAGACATAAAAAGATGATTTTTCAATGATTTTTCTTCATCTAAAGACCTAAAAAGCTCATTTTTAAATAATTTTTCTTAATCTAAAGACCTAAAAAGCTGATTTTTAACTGTTTTTCCTCCATCTAAAGCCTAAAAAGCTGATTTTTATTGATTTTCCTTAATCTAAAGACCTAAAAAGCAGATTTTTCAGCGATTTTCCTTCATTTAAAGACCAAAAAAGCGGATTTTTCTTCATCTAAAGCCCTATAAAGCTGATTCTTATTGTTTTTCCCTAATGCTCTGGAGGATAGGCTCTGGCCTTCACCTCTGAGAGGATGACCCACACCGGGGAGTCGGTGAGCACCCACAGCCTCATGGCCTCCAGCGGCCCGAAGGACGGCTCCACCTCGCCCTCCGCCACGCCGCCCTGGAAGGCCCCTGAAACACACAGAGCCCAGTTATAAATGGAAAAAAATGAGGGAAACATAGCAGAAAAGTGTTAATAATTTCAATTTTAAAAAGTCTTGCTGCTCTGTCCTGAAGAATCTGAACAATCTTATACTTTAATTGTTGATGTCAGATGAAAAATGTGGAAGGTAAACACTGAATAAATAATAATAATAATAAAGACGTTAATAATCAATAAAGATAACAACAAAAATAACTATAATCATTATAATAACTATAATAAGAAGAATTATGAAAATAAATATAATACTACTACTACTACTAATAATAATAGTAATAATAATTCTAATAATAATAATAATAAGAGAAAGAGGGAAAATAACCCTGCGTTTCCTGTTTCTGCCAGCAGGGGGAGCTAAAAGCAGGCTGGACCAGAAACAACAGCAGTTCTCAGGGTCCAGATTCTCCTCAGTTTGGATTTATAATATTATATATAATATCTTCAATGTAACTCGTTGTTAGTTGCTTATTATTATTATAATCATTATTACATTTAAAGAATAATAATTATAATTATGATCCAATTGGACCAGGACCAGGACCACATCAGTCCAGTTCAGAACCAGAAACCAGGACCACATCGGTCCAGTTCAGACCAGAACCAGGACCACATCAGTCCAGTTCAGAACCAGGAAACAGGACCACATCAGTCCAGTTCAGACCAGAACCAGGACCATATCAGTCCAGTTCAGAACCAGGACCACATCAGTCCAGTTCAGAACCAGGAACCAGGACCCACTTGGACTGACCTATCCTGATGAAGCCGTCTTCTGTCCGCTGGAACTTTGGCGTCTTCTCCTTCCCGTCAGTCAGAACCTCCTTCTCTGCCTGAATGTTCTGAGGATGGAGGGATAGATAGATAGATAGATAGATAGATAGATAGATAGATAGATAGATAGATAGATAGATAGATAGATAGATAGATAGATAGATAGATAGATAGATAGATAGATAGATAGATAGATAGATAGATAGATAGATAGATAGATAGATAGATAGATAGATAGATAGATAGATAGATAGATAGATAGATAGATAGATAGATAGATAGATAGATAGATAG